CTGAGCACTTTATTGACCCCATCCTCTCTTACTTGGTATAAACAGTGGTTTTTTCACCAGGTCAGGCCAACTGAGAATGTTATTAGTTGCAGTCCTTGACGTGGTATCGGTCACAAATCTTCCAATTCAAGACTCAGCGTATCGTAATAACGTCGAGGTCGGTTATTATGAGGGGAGTGGGCTCATCTGTCATGAGGAATGATTTCATAAGCCATCACACAGCCCGGCTATGCCATCAACACAAGTGATTTCGAAGAGTAATCTGCTAATTTAAGTTTTAATGACTTATCAGAGCTGGACGCCGTCGACAGATGTTATCTTACCACAGTCAAGATTATGTAAGCTGCCATTACGGTACAAAATAAATTGTAGGGACTTAAGAACGGACCTCATGAAGAGGAATATCATTTGTTTATTTGACTAATAACTTTCAACAGTTATGCGTTGTTTTGGGTCGATCAATAAATACTCTTATCTGGTTCCGAAGCTTTTACCTGATGCCACAAACGCTCAGCTTGTGAAGAGCTGTACATGCGGGTCAATACCCTGTTTGTTGGGGGCATCTACTAGAGAAGCACAATCGTAGTTAGGGAACATCATGTTAGAAATTCTATAATAGACTTTTTTCGTCAGAATATCAGACTATCATTGTCTAGAATAGAAGCAGCTACAATTTCGGAAATCGAAAGCTGTTTGTAAACCTTGACTTCTTCCTTTATATATAAAGGGCGAATAAGTTTGTAGTTTTCTGCCGGAAAGGCAAGCTAACAGTTACCTTGACAACTGTATGAGGAATTATAGAGTGATTTCTAATTGTGTATATAATTTCTTAAGCATCATGCGAAATATTCTGCCAGGTTCGGAAGGTTTGCTTGGCTCATTTCGATTGGACATCGGCTCTACGCCTTTTTGACAGAAGAGGGACAATTTCTATGACGGAAGGGACTCGTCCCATTTTAAACTGCCTTGACTTCTTCGGTTTAGACGTTAACATTGATTGAAATGACTGGGACAGACGTTTTACCTTATGCGGCCCATGTAGCAATCATTTCCAAATTATTTCGTCGAGGCACGCAATTTTGCCCACGTTCTTTCTCCTACTACCTTTGTACAAGCAAGACCTTTTAGGGCAGACAATAAATATTGCAGTCAGTAGACATTCGATAATTGTTCTGGCCTTCCGCATTCCCTTGAGGCATTCATTACACTGTCTTCATATTTGGCAAATGATATAAGATTTCAAAGTGACAATTAATTTTTCACAGTCTCTTTATTATTTTTCTGGTCAAATAAACTCACGGGGTCGGGAAAAAGATCTTACCTTCGTAGCACAATATAACTCAGTCGGAAGACCTATTAATCACCTGTTAACGATGATGACAAGTTATTCCTATCACCGTAGTTATTGGTAGTTCCAGCCGTTTTGCGTTTTGCTTGTTACCCTTGCTGTCATGCTACCATGGTTTGCAAGTCAGCTAATTTTAATAAAACTTTCACATTTAATACCGTGGCGATAGCAGAAACTTCGCTTCTTGAGATCTGTGACGATAGTGACAGAGGTGATGCTGATGACGACCTCGTTGCTCTTCGCCATATAACCACGCCACTTGACTCAATTTCCATTCTGTATTTTTTTCAGAAAGAAAAAGCGCAGGCTGGCCGACCGTCTCCTGACAAAAACAGTGCGCCAGATTATTCCTGAGTCAGAATCCTACATGGAACTACTTGAAGTGGAGAAGAAGTTGGATTTGGTTCTCAGTCGCAAACGTCTCACCCTGCAGGAATCTCTCAAACAACCAGCCAAGGCACGTCAACTATGACGTTAACTTTCACGAATTTTCGCCTTTTTTCCAAAACGCTTCTCGACTACTTTATCTGTTTTAGTAAAGATTATTTATCTTGCCCGCTAAGCAGAACATGAGCTGCCCGCACTGCAGCTGGCTTTGCGCCAAATACCAGCAGAATGAGCTTAAGGCTTAAGGTTAGGCTTAGGAGTAAGTTTAGGGTTAGGTTCAAGGCTAGTGTTAACTGCAGTTTTAGGAATTAGCGTGGGGTTGCGGTATAGATTACGAGTAATGTTTAGTTTTACGTCAGAACCCCCTAAACGGGTCGTGTAATAGGTGCGCTGGACCAATTTGAGGGTCGGATCATGCTACGGCAGGCGTTATTCGGTTTGCGCTCCTATAACAGATGCC